AATAGATATAGAAAGAATATTGAAATCTCAAGGCAAACCAAACAGCAAACACTCACCTCTGCAAACACACATTTCTTCGCTTCCAAACGGTGAACTTTCTTCTTCCAGACTTGATGATAATAAACCGATGAATCGAAATTTTTAAACGAATTGAAACAGTATAGTGAGTGCACTAAAGATCAAAGTGACAGTATAAAACTACATTCGAATGATAGTTCTTGAAACGACCGTTCCAAATCATCCATAATTGCGATCACAGGTGCGATATTTTTTCAAAAATTTTCACATTTTCAAGCCAATACGTATTTGTCACTTTTTGCAAAAGTGAGCAGCTGAAATCTACATATTCTCCCAGGCGCTTCGCTAACCCGCTGCGTCCTCCCCAAACACCCCCGCGCGCTCGCTTATCTTAGCCACTGATCTATATAAAAACACTGTAGTGTGCCTATTTTTAGTTAATTGCGCCTGGGTACGAGGCTGGTACGTTAGGCATAGGTTGTATACGTTTCAAGCACAGTCGAGTATGGTGGCGTACGCTGGCATACGGCGAGGCAGAACATTTTTTTTAAGCATGTTCAAAAATTTTGTGCGTGTTGGACGTATGCTTTATACGATAAGCATAGTCTAGGCACACGCTAAATACGCTAGAGGTACGCCAGGTGTACGGTACTCATACGCTGGCATTTCAAAGGATTTTTGTGCGTATGAAAATTATTTCGTTAATTTCCATACGCTTCTCATACGTTTCTCTCTTACGCAATAGTGTGACAGGACCTTTATATTTTGAGAAGAAAGCGACACCGTTCGATTCAGCGTAAGAAATTACGGGTGTCAAGTGTATTACTAAACACCAGTATTCTAGCGATTTATGGCCTTTGAAAATCAAACGAAATGGTATTGTTGACAAATCGTTCGCAGTACGTATATTGTTGACAAATCACTCGCACTACGTTTGTCCTTGTATTTGTAATGCCTAATGGCGCAATAAGGATAAAAATACCATCGTTCGATTCAGCGTAAGAAATTGTACTTGCGGATTTCAAATGTATTACTAAGCACCAGTATTCTAGCGATTTATGGCCTTTGAAAACCAAGCGAAACTGTATTGTTGACAAATCGCTCGCAGTACGTTTCATAGTGTATTTGTAATGCCCAATAGTAATGGCGCGATAAGGATAAAAATACCACCGTTCGATTCAGCGTTAGAAATTGTACTAATTCGGATGTCAAATGTATTACTAAAGCCTAGTTCTCATTCATCGCAAACTGTCACCGACGATCGGCGACGCTTATCACCGATGCTCGCCGATCGCGAATGCACGAAAGTTCTCATACATCGGTGATTGTCGCAGAGGACAGCCGATGTGTTTCGAAATTTCCCACCAATGCACAAAATGGCCCCGTTCAACGTAAAGTTCATGATTCCTGTCAAACTTCAGTTGATTATTTCCTTGCTTGTTGAGGAAAAAACAACTTTTACTCATTTCTCATAGGTTTTTCAAGCAGTTGGCAGTCGGCGATGGTCGCAAGAAACAAACTTTTTGTTTCCTGCGATGTTATCGCCGATGGTCGGCGACGATTACGGACAATCGGCGATATAATTTTTGATGTGTTCTCATAAATCACAAGCGGTCGCCGACGTCGCAAAGCTCCCATCGCCGACGGTTTGCGATAAATGAGAACTAGGCTTAAACAACAGTATTCTAGCGATTTATGGCCTTGTATCTATGGCGAAATTGTATTGTTGACAAATCGCTCAAAATTATTAAACGTACTAATTATAAAAAAATGCAGTACACTTGATCCTTGATAACTTTGGTATCATTGGTTTTCTCTTTTTCGGCCGTATACCAGTGGATTCGTCTAACTTCTCTCTTCATTTTGATAGTATTTTGAGCCCAAAAGCCTCAAAATATTTCTTTTGAACGTTTTAAAGTGCAGCTTAATCCTAGCGTACGGACCAACTGGCGGCTGACAGTTTAATCCTAGCGTACGGACCAACTGGCGGCTGACAGTTTAATCCTAGCGTACGGACCAACTGGCGGCTGACAGTCTTGCGTACTAAAATATAACTTTTATACTTGTGCAGTTGTAGGGCCTACCGCATTTTAGTACTGTGTTAAGCCTTTCGCGCTCGTATTCCACTTTTCCGCTTAGCTCGGGGAAAACCTTAAATCTTAATTGAAATAGCTGTGTACTGTACTATCATGTACAGTAATGTGCGTATTTCTATAGCCGCAGCGAGTTAACCCTCCGTAGAGCGTCTTGTTATAGTAAATATCCGCTCATTCTTCTCTCACCTGATCTACTTTAGATTCTCCGTTGTAAGAAACCGACCGAGAAACTTACTACAGCGACTAAGTGTTCCTCTAACCTCGTTTGTGACCTCAGCGCGTCTGAAGACAGTACCCTAGTGGCCATGTTACTCTTCAGCTTCGTGGAAAGGAATCCTCGCTTGTTGTTGGTACTCCGTGTCATTCACCGATGGTGCAGTGGGACTGGGCTGTTGCGCAACCCTGCGGACGCTGAAAACATTTCGAACGTGCTCAACATCCTTTTTCTTTCACAGTGCATAAACCGTGGAGAAATTGAAAGTTTTCAAGCTGAAAAGGTACAGAAAAAGTTGGATGGGTTTGTTCGTGGGCAGGGCACAGATTTAAACTTGTGTACGAAGTTTGAGGAAATTTGGAACGTCGTCAGCAACCAAACCAATAATGAACAAGCAGAAGGAAACATAAACCTCAGCACTAACCTCGGTCGGAACTTATTGTTGTTCTTTCGAAGTTATGAGACGTCTTTGGATATGATTATACCAGAACCATTCGCCTGCATCCTTAGTAGCAACAAGGTTTCTCAACTAATTGAGGTTGACAAGATTGATCTCATTCAAGATCAGATGCAACGTGCTTATCAACTTTTGGCGCAATACGGCGACGTAGAAATTATGCTAGCCTGCAGCAGTTCCGAAGAATACAACGTGATATTCCTCTCACCTCTTCTTTCATTCTCTGTGTCAGGCGTCGAGAAAAGCAAAGCTAAAGAAATTGCAAGAAAGACTGGAGCAACCAGTGTTGTTATTCGATCCAGTCTCCCACGCTCTCGGAAGTCCGCTATTCTCGAAGTCAGGGGAAATGAGCCAACAATACGTGCGGTGCGAAGAGAATTAGAGAATATGACAGTTCAAGCGTCTAGGGATAAGTGGTCCCTCATGAGTGGATCTTTCGTGGATGGTGCAAACTTAATGTTATTCGAAGGAAGTAAAAATGTAAAAGATGTGATCACTCTTACTCCTTACATTGGACGGTGTCATCAGACCCACGATGGTCTACCACGTCACGTTGCTTTCGTGAAGAATCCCACAATCCCGATCACCCAGTACATGTTCAGTCGTTTTTCGGATAAATTCTTTCAGCAGGTCCAATTGCTTGAGAGAGATTTCGTTCCCCAGCTACATGGCATACACGAATTAGCAGTGCACTTTGGGAGAACGTACTTGTTTAGTGTACCACATATACTGCTAGAAGATAGCGAATCCGTATCCATTGCTATGCTTAGGGCCAACAAGTTGAAAACAGCAGTCGAGCAAACAAAACGTAGTGCTCCAGAGACAATTAACTATGTCAGTCAGGAAACCGAACGTCGCCGTAGAAGAAAAAGAAAACCGAACAAAGAATTCAACAGTGGCGAAAAGACTAAAAAACGGAAACGAAGCAAGCCGTCTAGAAGTTCATTCTATACCACTGTTCATTCCGCAGACAGGGTGAAGAACTTCCTTCAATCTCGTGGATTCCAGGCCGAGGACGCCGACTCCACGGAAACCTACTCGGTAAATATCTATCGTGAAGATATCGAATTTTACGTCAAATTTGACAGCTTTCTGAAATTCACAGAAGTCAGATTCCCTAATCTTCGTTGGTGCGTCACGGATATAAAGAGAATGTGGCAAAATCACATGAATAGGTAAGCAAGAATAATTTTCTTAAGCATCCCATCAACTTCTATTTCACTTTGATTCTCACTCGTGTGTGTTTCAAACTAAACATCTGCATGCTAGTACATGTTTTTTTTGGTCAATAAAATTAAATGAATTCGAACTTAACTCCTACAATCCACAAAATATTTCGATTATTCGTCATTGCCTACATAGATAAAACATTTTCGTAGCAATACGTTAATACCTCATCTGATAAAGTATTAAAATTTTCTGTTTATTCTTCCTATTTTTGTAATAGCGGTAGACGCATTTTATTTAACACGTATTTACTGTTACGGTTCTAATAATATACAGAAAAATAATACTCGACTGTGATTGATGGATTTCAGTGCAGTTATAATCGCAATCAGCAGTGCAATATTCTGTAATCACAGTGCAATTTTCTGTAATCAGGAAAACTTTGCCAGTGGAATGTTCACTATAAACTACAATTGTCTCGAACATTTTTATGTAAATTATTAATAAGTAATAGCATGGTTTCTCGTGAAATTTGGATAAACATGCACTCGTGAGTTTTTCAAAGACTTGAAATAGCACTCGTCTTTCGGACTCGTGCTATTTTGAGGTCTTTGAAAAACTCACTCGTGCAAGTTTATCCAAATTGCACTCGAAACCATGCTATTACCTGTATAATAATATACATAAAGATATTACTCGACTGTGATTGGTTGATTTCAGTGCAGTTAATCCCGAACAGCAGTGCAATTTTCTGTAATCACAGTGCAATTTTCTGTAATCACAGTGCAATTTTTTGTAATCACAGCGCAATTTTCTGTAATCACAGTGCAAAAATCTGTAACAAACTGATCTGATTGGTGGAAAAACATTGTGATGATTAAATCAACCAATCAGTTTAAAACAGTTTAGTTTTAAAGAAGTAACGGTCACAGATTGCTTCAAAACAAAACAAACATGGCGCCGCGCTACACAAAGTAAAAGTTGCCTTCGCGTGGAAAATATGGCTTTTATCTTTATTTTTAAATGGAAAAGCATTTACCTTAAACAAGACTAACAAAAAATACACAGTTGAGTGGAATTTTCAAGCTGTTAGCGTTGTATAATGTGATAAAACAAAGCCAGGAAAACTTTGCCAGTGGAATGTTCGCTATAAACGCGTAAGTTAAAACTACAATTGTCTCGAACATTTTTATGTAAATTATTAATAAGTAATAGCATGGTTTCTCGTGAAATTTGGATAAACATGCACTCGTGAGTTTTTCAAAGACCTCAAATAGCACTCGTCCTTCGGACTCGTGCTATTTTGAGGTCTTTGAAAAACTCACTCGTGCCAAATTGCACTCGAAACCATACTATTACCTATACTAATATACCAAAATAATTGTTCCGCACCCTTTTTTGCGAACTATGCTAGTAATACCTGCAGGTAAACTAATTTTTATTCGAATTAATTTGTCAATCTAAAAATGAACAGCCCAACTTAAAAGATCGTAATTATGTAAAATGTTTTTGGATCGATCAAAGGTGTTTCATCAATATCGATCGATCACGAAAAATTAGAGAGTGAGCGGCATTACTGGGATTGGGAAATACCAATTTCTTGCGTCTCTCCAAAAGAAAAAAAACCGCGATGGATGAAGTAACCACCCACAAATTGCATTGTTTGATTTGGCAGGCCATGTGATAAATACCGGTATGTCATTAGTGTACCAATAATTGTGATCAATTGAAATAGTGAGCACGAATAAAAGTTATTCACAAACCGCAGATAGCCACATGCTCAACTGATCAAATAACCACAAGCATATCATAAAATGCTGATAAGTTATCAACAGACTCCATTCCTATACCCATAATGTACGGTGATATGTTGGATAAACGTTTTGAATGGAATCAAATAACACCACTCAACCTGACTACATTATTGTACAAGTTTCAAATGCTGACGTAATTGGTGGTGTTCTTTGCACCACCGGCTCTACCGGATGTAGACTACGAACTTTATGCATTAAATAGTGTCCCTAAATTACCTTGGTAGTAATGTTTATAGGTAAGGACAAATTGCTTGCCAAAATACGCGAGGGTTTTTTCGAATTTGACCACCATGCTCAGTTTTTGATATTAGGCCTAGTGCTTGCTTCAGAACTATTATTTCTATTTAAATCTCGCTCACGTTTGGACTGGAAATCTTCGTTAAACTGGCCATGATGAAAGAAATCTCGCGATGTCGTACCAGCAAATGAAACTAAACTATGATATTTTCGAAAAAAAATATTGCATAAAAATAGAACCACCGTTTGGGCACATCACTTAAAACTATATAATTTATCATTTTTATGCGGTTATTTGTGTCATTAGCTGCCGTAGAAGTGAATATGAACTACTGTCTTGATATAATGCATTTGAATCCATAATACTGTATGAAAGCAGCTTGAAGTTGACATAATTTTTCAACTGGTGTTTAAAACGTTTTGATATACAATGTTCACCGTACTACATAACTCCCTAGTTTATTGTTAAATCGATCATTGAATCTTTTTTCTTTATATTTGTTTATTTAGACAAGATGGCCAACGAGAAGACCAACAACTCACACTGGATGGAGGTGAAGTAGATATACGTTTCTTGTTGCAATCCCGTGCAATTTTAAAACCGGATGAGATATCTGACACAAATTACAAGCAATATGTTGACATGTTGAAGCCTGATCCTAGTGCTGAGAAGTCGTTTATTGTTGACGAAAATCTCTGGAAGGATGTTAGAATAATTCGGTTTACCAAGTCCAGAAAGTTGAAAGCAAGCGCACAAGTTCAGAACGAATTCCTATCCGCCTTGACAGTTTATCTGGATGAAGTCGAAGAGCATTCAAGACCATGTGAGAATCCTGGTCAATTCAAGACGAAACTTACTCGATGCGAAGTTTGTTTGAAGACTGAACTCCCTGAAGATTTTGGAACAAAAACGACACTTAGAAATTTTCTCCGCCAGCTATGGGACTTCTCGTTCGCTTTATCTACTTACTTATCAGAGTAGGTTTTGAACAATCATTAGAGCATGGTAGACTTGCATGTAGACGGTAAATATAACTCTTATTTGTTAAAAACATTCTTCTTCTTTGTGCCTTAGTGTCACGAACAGTTGGAGCTATAGCAGTACGGCAATTTTCTACATCAAGTTTTCAGTTCATTCTATTCAGAGTCTAAAGTCAGAAATTAAGGGGAAAGCAAACTTTGCTCATGAGGTCAATATTTATGCTTACAAACCCTCATGTTTTTCAAATTAACAGTCAACGGTTGAGGCTATTAACTATACCATGGATTGCATGTATTAACTCACCGACTTTTCTTGCATGTTAAACAGTATTTTTATTAGGTTAAAGGGGTATTTTCTACAAATTCACTAAGTTATATGGTTGAGAACGACCATATCGTGATAGTAAATTAAAACTGGCATTTTACGCTCCTAACAATGCTCAATTTTCTTTAAAAAATACTTCAAACCATATAGTCTGTCAAGTTATGATGATCTGGAAACCCGGTAAACTTCAAAAGCTACAAAATAGAAGACCCTTGTTTGATGTTGAACTGTATCTCACCGTGCACAAATCTTTTGTCTCAACTAATTCTCTAAATATTATTCATCGTGCTGGTACGTTTCATCTCAGCTATCCTTACTGGACGAAAACTTCATTATACCAAATACAATGAGATGCATAAATTAACATAAATTCAAACAAAATACGATGACTTCTGTTTAGATTCCAGACCATCATATCTTGATAGAGTATGTTCAAATTAACATTGCTCAAAACTGGAAATTTATATTTATTTCATTTTAAGGTTTTTAGACAAAACGAGTGTTTGTTGACTTCACATCTATAAATTGACCTTGTTTTTAGTTTCTTCTAGAAATTATATTCTGTTCATGTTTTTATCTTCGCTCTTTGAGCATTATTTGATTTTTAAATACATTTTATAACTAGTTTAAAGCTCCATTTATACTACGCTTAGTTTTTGGTACGGCGCGGAAAAAATTTTGGTACCCATACCACATTTTTGGTCCTTGGACTACCTATTTAGATAGTCCAAGAACCAAAAAAAGTGGTACGCTACCAAAAATCAAGCGCATTGTAAACGGGGCTTAAATATTGAAAATGTATTTGCTAACCTATAGACAGACAACTGCTGGAAGTATTTTCATTTTGTTTTTATTCCTATTAATGCTATATAAAGCGAATAACCTGCTGTTTTCTCGTTTAGAAAACCTCTGTAAATTTTGAGCCTCCATCTTGTGTTTTTTTTTACTGATAGGATATGAGCTATTGTTATATACTCACATGCCATTGACCAATCACGCATCTTCAGTAGTGTCACGTGTATGCCCGATGTTTTACGCAGGGGCGTAACTAGCCCCTTTTGATTGGGGGGAGGGTGTCTGCCAGAATTGCCCTGCCAAACCGATGATGCCCTGCAGCAAAAAATTTTTTTTGTCAATATTTCACCTAAAAAAGTTGGGGGGGGGGGAGGTCGAATAAATGTTTTCAGGACATTCAAAAAAGGGGCCAAAAAACTTTTTCCGGACAAAAACCAGTTAAATTAAAGGTAAAAAAAAATTTTTCGGACATACACCAGTTCAATTAAAGGTCAAAAAAAATTTTTCGGACAAATTCCTGTTAACACATGCATGAAACCCTTATTTTTTGAACAATATCTGAAATTTAAAATCTTTCATTGCCCTGCCAATCCAGATGATTTGCCATAGGATATTGAGGCGGTGAATCAGTTTTTTTTTGAGAAACTATGAAAATCTTCGAGTCTTTTCAATTCTTTTTAATTTCTTAAAATTTTCGACTAGATTTTCAGTAGTTTTTCCCGACCTTTTCTTAATTTTTGCCCGACGAGAGTACGATTGCGAAAGATTGGGGGGGGGGGGTGACATTGGGGGAGGGGTGAGACACCCCCCCTGTAGGTACGCCCCTGGTTTTACGATGGAGGACAATGCATATAGACCAATGGCACATGACGTCACAGTGCCGGTGACGATGCATCTGGAGGACAAATTAGCAATCTATGCATAATATAACTTTTATAAGCAAAGCAAATTTTGTAAAACTTTATAATAATTTTGTATTATTAAAAATAAAATGGTTAATTTTTGCCCTGTATGTGGTTATTGTTCCCAAATAGATATTGTTTGGGAGCATCTGGAGGACACTCTAAGGATTTGTGACGTCAGTGCAGTGGATCTAATATTTTCCTGACTTATCAACTCATCATACAGCTCAGTTGCTCAGTGCGCTAACTGCAGTTAACTTTAACCACGTTTTTATGTAACCGGCCCCGAATTTTTATAGAAAATAAAATGTTGTTCAGAAAATCGCTTCGGAAAATTGCCTCGAGATTAATGTAGCGAAAATAATCGCAAAAGCTCGCGAAAAATTGCCTCGAAAAAATCGCGAAATTACTGTAAGTACGCGCGAATATAAGGGGCCGACCATTTGACTTTTGAGGGGGGTGATTTACTGCTGGCAGGAAATTTTTTTTCTGGGATCGTTATGTGCAAGATATTTTTTTATCACCATCACCATGTACGATTTTTTTTTGCCACACTTTCTTTCGCAGCATTTTTTTTTTCAATAGCTTATACTATTTAGATTATAGTTAACGTTGAGTTTTTTAGCTTCATGCATTGCTCTTAATAATACATTTTGCTATGAGGTATAACATTTGGTTCAGTGCCTTTTTTAAGGATGTGCAACTGGAGAGGACATAATTAGCGGGGGACCTGGAGAAGTTCCAGTCGGCAAGTCTGTATCCAGGGCCATAGCTAGCATGTATAGTTGGGGGGGGGGGGTAGGCCAAAAATTTCCGAATGACGAAAATAATTTTCGAATATATCATGGCATACTATTAATAGCCATGAAGGTGTTTGCTATTCGGAAAATGAAGACGCAATTTACAATTAACAAAAATATGCATAATTTACGCACAGACATATTACGGAAGCAGTGCGGTAGGGAGCTTTTGTTTATTTGCGGCAGAAAACGAGGGCAGGAGGCCCGAGGAAATTTTTAAATTTTGAGTCTCTGAAATGCCATTTCCTGGACTTTGGGGAAGTTTTGACAGAATGCTGATCGTCAGAAAAAAGCGTTTTAGTATGACGAAATTTACAATTTGCTTACAATTTATAGTGACAATACAATTTTATAATATTTTCTCTGTTTAACAACTAAAATTTTGTTCTACTATTAAATAATTGCCGTAATTTTCCGAATGGCCAACCCGATTTTCTGAATATGTTGATTCTAAAAAAGTTGGGGGGGGGGGTTAACCACCCCCAATACCCCCCTTGCTACAGCCCTGTCTGTATCACTGCAGCTACCTACAGCATATATATGCATGGTTTAACTAATAAGTATACGTCATATAGGGCAGCAACAACTGAGTCGACCACCGAAGGTGCGAGCCTCTAGAGGGGTCTGGGGGCATGCCCCCTCAGAAAATTTTGGATTTTTTGAAGCTCAAATAAGCTATTTCCAGCATTTTGAGGAGTTTTCCAACAAGAAATTAACCTTACACCAGTCCCTGAAAATCAAACCAGCTGATCTTCTGGGACTGGTCAAATCGATCCCTGCAACCATGCTGTTTTGCAACATTTTTTTTCCCACCAAATATTGGGGCAGGATTTTTTCCCCCAGTTTGTTAGTGCAGGTATTTTTTTTTGTCCAGAATAGCCTTGCAGGAAATTTTTTTTCAAAATCACCCCCCCCCCCCCTCAAAAGTTAAATGGTCGGCCCCTTATGAGCTCTTGGCTGGAACTAATTAGGTTTTTAATCAATTCTTTTTAATTTAAACAATAGAAAATTCACTACGCGCAAAGAAATTCGCTAGTGGAAATTCGCTGGATGAGAGAGCCCAAAGCCCCAAGCACTGTTGCTATTCAGTGTTTCCACTTGTAGCGAATTTTTCCAAATATGAACTTTAATTTACAAACTTGAATTTTGGCGGAGATTTGACACGTACCTTCATCCGCCAAAATTCAACTTGCGAATACGAACTATAATGTAGCGAATACGAACTATAATGTTGGGATTTTACTACATCCCGGGCGTTCTTTGTCAGTGCCCGCGATCACAATTAGAATTACCAGCGGTTGAGTTCGCAACTCAATATTCAAACATTTTCAACCAGATAAAAAAAGATTAAAACTTTTTTAAAGCACTTTAGATTTTATACCAATCCCAAACACTAACCGGCCTAACTTTTAAGAGTTAAAAAAGGAAGGAAGAAAAAAATTAAAAAAAATTGAGAAAAAGAGCTAAATCAGATAATAAATGTTCGGCATCGATCCCGACCCCGACTGCGTTTCACTTCCGGTACGCAGCGCCTTTACCGCTTGAGCTAACGACAAACTTGGTGAAGATTACTGCAAACAAAAGTTTTTATATTGCTACAAAATACGAAATAACTCCCGTCTGTCCAGTCACTTGGTTATTTTTTGTTTGAGCTGCTATAAATGTTACTAGCTCATATAAGATCTGTGAAATTAGTGCTAAAACATAAACAGTTTTGTCAAAAAATTAAAAGGCAATATGTCTGGATCAAATAAACTGACTAGAAGCAAACTGATATCTTGAAATATAGATTAACATGCTGACAAACTGTTACAGTTTAATCAAGTTATAAATTCACTTTTCACATCGAGTATTATATAATTTATATTTGGCTTTTAAGATGTTTTCTTTCAAACATTGTGATTTCAGGAAACACTCGATGTTATCATCATATACCGCTGATAATACTAATTGTGATCGCGGGCACTGACAAAGAACGCCCGGGATGTAGTAAAATCCATAATGTTGGGAATACGAACTATAATGTTGGGAATACAAACTATAATGTTGCGAATACGAACTATAATATTGCGAATACGAACTATAATGTTGCAAATACGATCTTTAATTATGGTTTTAACGGATGAAAACCGTTTGTTTATCCATACAAAAATGCTCCCTTATGCGTGTCCGGATTTGTTCTACTTGTTTCACCCACATAAACATTGTAGGCAATTTATAAGGTAGACCGTATATTCTTGATGTGGCACTGATTTTTTTTGTCTGAGAGTTTGCATGCAGGTATCACAATCTATTGTACAGCTTAACTTGTCTTTCTTCGGGCGTATATTTTAGATATTGGTTGTCCGTTGATTAAATGGACTCTTATATTTCCTATCCCAGTTCTTCGTATGGTGGCTAGCTAGGGCATGCACGGCGCTTAAATACCTCATCAACATAGGGTAATTTGGGATAGATATACATCCCTCCTGATTGTCACGTTGTGGTCGGTATAGAATGTTTGTTGTATTACTGATCTTACAAATTGTTTCACTTTGGTTTACTCGTAAATATCGAGGTTATTTTACGCAATGATTTGTTCTTTCGGTGTAGTCTGTCGACCGTGAAATTACTCTCCTTATTTTTCCTATGAGCACAGATCTTTTGGAAGCTATCGATCCGTGACTGTCCCATGGGATGGTACATGTGCTATGGATGGGTTTTACATATAATGTGGTAGAAAATTTGTTGGCAGTGGAGTCGAAGGAAACTAGGGTATATCTAGGTATATGGCAATTGATTGTTAGTGGACGATTCAATAGGGAACTTTTTAATTTTAATTTTTTTAATTTTTTTAATTTTAACAAATTTTATTTGGATCGATATTCACAATTTTTAACAAACAAAAGAAAATAACAGAACAAATATTACATTAAGTTAAAATAACCTAGATATCAAATGTAGATCCAAAAAGGTAAGGTACGAACGGGACTCTTATAAAAGGTCCCATGCAGGGCACCCACCTCCAAAATAGTAATCATGATAACAAATAGAACATCACGAACTCAAACTCGCTAAAGGATTCAGGCAAGCAAAAGATTAAATGGAATAGTTAAACTCGAAATTCAAAATAGTCACCGCTTCAGAGAGTTTGAGTAAACGTGGCTCAATTTCCTGAAACTGGGCGTGTCAAGTAAACTAAGAGACAGATTAACATGCATGTAAAGGTAAAGGCCAGCTTCCACACAGGAAGATCCTCCGCTGAACAGAAACGGCGGGAGAGCTTTCATTGTGTTAAATTCACGACGTCCACGTCATTCGTGTTGATTAAATTCATTTAGTTCGAACCCAGAGGTTCCAAACGAAATCTCGCAAAACAAACTGAAAACTTTCCCGTCCACCCCGATCCCGAAGACCCTCCCGAATGGAGACTAACCTTTACATGATAGACAGAAACATATTACAGGCAGAGACAGACAAATATACAAACACGACAAACTGACTTAACTATTTCCTGTGGCAAGAACAGTCCCGTACCAGTGACCACGTACAAGATAACTCAACATCATAGACTGACTTAACAAGTTCGGTATATTTACGTTTAAGATAGTTTTTAAAGGAGATCGGATTGGAGAATGTATCTGGATGAATGTCTTTACATATACAGTTCCATGGTTTAACTATCCGGTTGAAGTATGACGATTGAAAGGTCGTTGTTCTACACAAGGGTGTTTGAAGCACAACACGTCTAGCAGCTTGACTGAGTCTAGTGCGTCTATGTTCAATGAATGAAACATAACTGTCCATTTTAAGGTCGATGTGGCCATACAGCATCTT